AATTGCAAACTGCAATTTGCGTATCTTTTTCTGCTTTTCTTTCAAAAGAAGCTTTCCCAACATTTGGCTTGTCTACACGGGGCCAAATGTCAGAAAAACACCCTCGTTCAGAACATCCCTTCTCCCCCTCCATCCTTACAGGATCCCAAAGAAATGCATCTGCTTTTCCAAAATTTGTTTTTGGAAAAGCAGACATGTTTCTTGGATGTGGCAGAGCTTTTCCGGTATCCCAGAAAAGCTCTGTAGTCTAGACGTATCCTAGGAGAAAACTGAACGTGATTCCTTCATCTGAAATTTGAAGTCATATAGAGGAATGAGAGAATTAGAGAAAACAAGGCACCACAACCTTACAGGAAAGTGGAACAGAGCTGGATTGGATGCATCTGGAAGGCAGCAAGAAAGACGCAAAATAACCTCCAAATTAGAGTTGGGTGAATAACTGAATATCATTGGGGTAGAGAAAAGAGTGAGACTGATGATAGAGCCTACAAATCAGGGAATACATCCAGTGTGTCATAGAGTTTAAAACCAGAAGGGACCATCAGATCACCTAGTTTGATCTCCGGTGCAATTTCCTACTGCAAAAGCTATTTAATTATTTATACAGCAAACTAAAAGAGTGGCACACCAGAATATCCAAAAGTGCAGTGACTTTTCCATAATACAGGAGACACACATTGACATTTGTTCTCCACAGCTGATAAAGGGGGAGTCTGAACCTGTTTCACATCATGGCAGAATGTCCTTAACCATTGGTCTCTAAAATTTACAAACAGGGCTCCACTTGCAGCTGTTTTGTAATCCCTGCTATTCCACCCCCCAGTAAACATCTTTCAGCAATGTCAAAATGAACTGTTTTATTTCGACATTACTAAAACATTTCAGTTTTCCAGTTCAATCAAAATGAATTGGCAAACGTAGCATGAATTTGTGTATTGTTTGGGGTTGACAAACTGCTTTTTCAGTGAATAAACTGAAAAAAACCCCAACAAACTAAACCAAATAAAAAACAAACACCCAGCTCTACTCCAAACCTTCCATTATAGTGGCCATTTTGATCCCAACATTTCTGAGTTTAGTACTGTTTTGCCTTTGATACAAGCAATTGTCTCGTTAGTTCCACTGTGAGTTAGATGTGCATATCCAGGCAAGAATAGAGCCCAGGGTGAAGATACATGTTTAATAATGGTTTCAGTATCAGATAAGTGACATAAATTATTCCCTTCCTGATGTATGAAATGTTATTTTTTCCATTTGCATGATATCAGATTTATCTAGATTAATTTAATATTTTCATCATTGTTATAACAAAGAGGCTTTAATTAAGTGAACTACTGCTAGCTTGTGCGCCAGACTCTCAACATTTGTTTAAAAACATGTTTAACTCTTCTGGCTGTGAAAAATACCTTGAAATTGTCAACCCAAGTATAAATGCAGTGATGTTTGCAGAGAATTGAAACAATCCCCCGACAGGTGTGAACTGCCCCTGCTGACCTGCTTTATGGGCATATCTACACTGACAAACACATACCGCCCCCGTCCTCTCCCCCAAACCATGTCAGCAAATGCCAGAGCCTGGGATCAACTGACTCGTGCTTGGAGGGCTAACGCTACAGTACTAAATATAGCAGTGTTGACTTCCCTGCTCCAGCTGGAGCCTAGGCTCTGAGATACACTTCTGCCATGTCTCAAAGCTCAAGTTCCAAGCCACGTCAAAACATCTATACTATAAGCTCTGTAGCATAAGCCCCACAGTCCTGAGTCAGTTAATCCAGGCTATGAGGCTCACACTGCAAAAGACACAAAGAAAAACTACAAAGACAGAAAAGGAACAAACAAAAAATACAACAGCATCTGTATTCTATGATATAAGCAATGGCAATTCTCATGATGATTATTTATCAACATTATTAACTATTTCACATCAAAGTGATACCAGTGAAACTCCACTTTGAAGTCCCCAGACTCCATTTTGTATCCCTGGTTTCCATTTTGAATCAGCAGGAGTCATTCATTAGATGGAAGCTGCAGGTCACTAATTATATAACTAACAGGAAAACCAAATTGGTGAGGAAAAAATGGTAATCAACGAGTCAGCATGTCAAATAACAACAAGCCTAAACAGAATTGACCATTAGAAGGAGCAGGTAAACAAGTTGAATGATGCCATGCATCTAAAGTTCTGCAGAAGGGTATGAAAGTCAGCTGGTAGTTGAGAGATGGACAGTTCTCATAGAGGGCAGAGACAATGTAGCGAGAAAGAGATGGCTGAGAGTAGAGACCCAAAGAGAGAAATAGGAACATGAGAAGCTGAGAAGAGAGAGAAGACTGAAAGTGTGAAGAGTAGAGAGAGTGTACATTCAGTGCAGTGTAGTCAATGGAATAAGTCTATGATACTCATTTATAGTACTAGCTATAGTATATAAAAATGTTAGTGTACATGTGTATGTTAATATATATGTGCATGTGTGTTAACTGTGAAAAAGAAGTTATATATGAAAGACCTAAACAACATTTAAGAACTGCTGTCAGTGACCTGTGAAGAACTGGCCATCTGACACAGGGCAAAGCCACTTAGCATCATTTCAAGTTATGAGACAATATGGTTTGGGGTGCTCTTTGACTCTTGCAAGGGATTAGTGTTTTAAATTGTTATTGTGCTCAGGATTTATTTGCACCAATAAAGGGGGCCTTGTTTTGGAATACTGCCCGTGTCCAGTCATTAATTGGAGGGCCGTCTATGTCCACTGGGGATAATAGGTCTGAGCTGTTCTATGGGGTTTCTGAAATTGGAACTCTTGGTAAGCCCAAGATATTCCTTAACCAACCTGGAGAGCCATACCTTAGGAGAGCAGATCGGTGAACAGGTGGACTGTTTTGAGGGAAGTCTTGATAAGCCTGGTAGGGGAAAATGGGTAAACTATTCTGGTGGTACCTAAATTATGTTTTGGGGAGTAACAAAAGGAAGTAAGAAAAGTCAACGTGACTCCTCATTTTGGTACCTCCAGTATGTAGCAAGTGGGAAGGCAACACCATTCTCTTCTCTCCTCTCTCTCCTACCTGTACAGTCAAAAAGCCCAGCAAACATCTGAGCCAAAGGGAACTCAGCAGACTCAATGGCTATGTCTACACTTGCAGCTTCTTGCGCGAGTAATATGCAAATGAGGCTAAGCATGGAATATCCCCGAGCCTCATTTGCATACCTAATGAGCCACCATTTTTTCAGAAGAGGCTCTTGCGCAAGAAGGGGCAGTGTAGACGCTCCTTCTTGCACAAGAGCCTCTTCTGAAAAAAATGGTGGCTCATTAGGTATGCAAATGAAGCTCAGCAATATTCCACACTTAGTCTCATTTGTATATTACTCACGCAAGAAGCTGCGAGTGTAGACGTAGCCAATGTGTGTATCTCAATCCTGCTGAGGGTAAGCTAAGATCTTTGTTCCCAAGGAAATCAATGGGACCTGAAGGACACGTTGTCCCTCACAAGATACAACTCCTTATGAATTCTAGGCATCATATGGGACTCATTGAACCAAAACAGATATTTGCTAAATTAAATATAACCTAGATCAGGGCATGTGAGCATATATAGTGTCAGAGTGTATTTAAAGGTGAAAATTCTGGAAAAGGACAATAGAACCCAAGCAAAAATTGGCCTAGTTATAAAATAGAGTAAGGAATATACAATTTCATGCATTATCAGAGTTATGTTTTTGCATGAGAAAATGTGTTGCAGTTTTGTAAAAAACCCCATGGTTTTGTATCAGATTTGATTGGGTCCCTTCATATGACATTTATATTTAGTGGAAAATGCCTGAGACTGACATAAGAATAGCTACAAAGAGGTAGCCCTGTTAGTCTGATAGTGGTAAAACAAACAAAAAAAAGCAGTCATGTAGCACTTTAAAGACTAACAAGATGGTTTATTAGGTGATGAGCTTTCATGGGGCAGATCCACTTGATCTGAAGAAGTGGGTCTGCCCTACAAAAGCTCATCACCTAATAAACCATCTTGTTAGTCTTTAAAGTGCTACATGACCTTTTTTTGTTTTGTAAGAATAGCTGTTTTGATATTTTCCAATACTAATGAAAACTGAAAACATTACATCCTGTTATTGAACCGTAATTAAAGGGCAAATCTTTCTCACCCTTTTTACTTAATTGCTGATTCAGCTGTCCATTTTTGCATGTATTCATGGTGCATAACATTGTGCTTTAATACTGCAGAAAATGTCTGTATAGTGTACCATGCTCCCTACATCTTTACCTCCTAAGATGAAGATTTTAAATGCTTATTTTAGAAATAAAGAACAATAAGGAACCTGATGTTTTACAATGATAGTGAAGAACCCAGTACTTTGCAAATGTGTTTTTTAATCAACAAAGGGCACATCCAAAGAATCACAGGAAAAATAATCAAACTGGCCCAATACAAGACTGGGCAAGGGGTTGGACTCCAGCAACCTCCTGAGGTGTCTTCCAACCCTATAATTCTAATACTGAACTTTCATTTATGAATTTGTACGAGCAATTAACATCCCTCTGATTTTACAGTTGCTGTATTTTGCCAGTTCATACTGTTACTCAAACCCAGTTTTCTGCTACAATGTTCCTTTGTTTAAAGAATTACTTTTACTCCCTGTGGCAGCTAGCGCGAAGCATCTTTTGCAACAGATTTTCCTCCCTGTTGTGCTCCTCAGTATCCAGTAGGCACCTCAGCCTCAAATGCTACCATGTTACGAGGCCATGGGAAAGCAACACTGTAGACTCCCTGCCACAGACTGTTACCAAGCCCACCGCCCGGGCGCAGCGCAGCCGGTAAAACAGCAGACTCGTGAATTGCATCAGACCTCTCCACAGCTCCACGTGGCAGGCTGCGCCTCAGGCTTGGCGAGCGCTCCCAGCCGCCCCTCCCGCCTGGCGGGCGGCTGAGTAGAGCTCTACTCCGGCGCGGGCGGGGCGGCGGCGCTGGCCAATGGGGCGGCGCGGCTGCCGCGGGGAGCTGAGGTCAGTTCCGCCGAGCGCTCGCTGGCTGGCGGCTGCCGCTGCTGCACTCGGCGCAGCCGCCGGGCGTGGAGCCGAGCAGGCGCGCGGGGCGCGAGCGCACCCGCGGAGGGTAAGTACCTGGCAGCGGGGATCGCTGCTGGCAGCCCCGCGGCAGGGAGGCGGCGTGTGAGCTGCTGGCCCAGCTGTGCGTGTTCAGGGTCCGCAACGGCCCCCCCATTGTAACCCGGGGGCCGCCCCTTGACAAGGCCCCACGGGGCCCCCTCTTTGCCCGCCACGTGGGGGAGGCCCTCCCCATCTCGCCCAGCAGCGGGAGCTGGCGCTGCAGCCCCTTGTCCTGCTCTTCCCGCTCCCCCGCTTCCCGGAGCGGTGGGATGGGAGTCCCCCCTCCCTGCGCTCCGGGCGGGGGCTGCAGTCTTCTCCCGGGTGGGGAGCGGTAGGGTTTGCAGTGGCCGCACGCCGTGCTGCCCTCCTTAGGTTGGTCGAGGCATTGCCGGGATTTGCCGGTAAAACCTATTCCTCCTTCGCTCTTCCTTTTGCAGTTACAGACCGAGAGAAATGTCTCCTTTTCCGGAGGGAGGGATCAGAGACCCTGCTTTGAGCCTGGCAAAGTGCAGGGAGGGAGGAGGCTGTCTGCTGTAGGCCGGCGCAGTAACATTGTTACTGGGCTGCATTTCCTTGGGCGCACGGTCCACTTAACTGCAACTTCTGGCTGTTCAGCTGTTTTGTACGGGGATAGGCTTTTACATGGCACGTCAGCCTTTCCATCCACACTTAACTTTGTTGCCCCAACTGGGTCTTTAGTCCTGGTGTCGAGTAGGAACTTTGGATAGTGGTTTTGCTACTGAATACAGGTTAGCACAAGGTATTAATATACAAACCACCATTAAAATATTGTAGGGGAAGATCTGGAATAGGAAATACTTCATTTAGATAATCTATCTGTAATTTGTTTCAAAAGAAACTTCCCTAAAAATCAGTAAAATAAATATATTTATTCAAAGGATTTAAATACAAATAGTGATGTTTGTTTAATATGCTTTAGAGAATAATTTTGCATTATCTGAAATTTGGATAAACGACTTGCAGTATATTTTCAGTATCCCATGCTGTTACTATCAGTGGGACTACTCATGATAGTCAGATTAGGCACATGCAATTTTCCAAGATCTGGGTCTAAGAAATATATGCTTTTAAAATTGGATACACTTTGTCATTTGGTGCTATGTTTTCTTCAGTGCTGTGCCTTATTACTGTATTCTTATTAGCCCTAAAATTGTAGAATAGTGTAATACTAAACCCTGCTTAACCAAGTTTAGAATATTGAGGGATTATTTTTAATGGATCTAAGCGTATGCAACAGAAAATTATCTATTTTAAAGGTTAGCAATTGTACATCTAAGGATAAGTAAGTGTACTTGAGTACTGTTTACAAACATAACTAAAGATGCAGTAATTACGCAATAGGTCTTTTCTGTAGGTTTTCTGTTTTAGTTTGACAGCAGCATTTTATATATAAATAGAGGGCCCCAGTCCTTCACTGAGATATGTGGATAGTTGTCTGTAGTTCTCAGTGCAGATCAGGGCCCTAGAATACCATGTAGTGCATTGCTAATACATACTTGGTTTTCATGGGACAAAATAAATTTGAGTTGTGTGTTAATTTACAGTTTGTTTTTTAACCTAATATTTTGTATAATTCACATTATACGAGATGGCAAATTGTTCTAGATATAATTCAAATGGAGATTTTTTTCTAATATGAGGGCCGGATGTGAAATAATATAATTGTATATGTTCTAATAAAGGCAAGCTTTAAAAATCGGTGCATGGTTTTTGCTTTTTAAAAATATGGTGTATTGATATTTCTACTTATTTTTAAAGAGAGAAGAACTTTGAACTCCACAGACTGTAAGTGTTTCATCTACATGACTAGAAGTTCATTTGGAAACAGAATATCTTTCTGAGAAGAAATAATGGTGTAGAAAGTTCCATTGGTATAATTTGGTGTCTCACTTGGTTTTTAATACCGTATAGGGCTTTTTTTCTTCAATTTATAAATACTTTTTTGACATCTATCGAAGATAGCAGTTAGAACTAAAAACAGTATTCCAGGAGATTTATATTATAACATAACATTTTCAGTATTTTCTTCTATTGCATTTTTATACATTTAAATATTTTGTTTGCTATATTGGCTGTGGCACAGATCCAAAATGATACTTTTGGATTTTATAGTGATACATAGTTTTTTCTGTGCTTGTTTGAGTTGTGCTGCACATTAAAGAAACAGTTTTTGTTACCCTTCCTTAGGGTATCTTTGTTAACAGTTTAAAGAATGTAAGTTACAGTGTGTCCAGTTTTTCTACATATTTTGTCATGCTGGTGCAGAGTAACTTGGCAGTGTGTTGCCTCATGAGCCTGTGTGGGTTTGCACAATTCATAGTCACTGTGTTCTGGAATATTCTCACATCTTAGTAAAACATCTATATTTGTTTTTTTTTCTCACCTATGCTATCCCATGTAATGATAAAATGGAACCCTTCATAGCATAAAAAAAATCTTCTAGCTCAGACATTCAGCACTTGAGCAACCAGTGGTGAAGAAAATAGGGCATGGCATTAAGTCATCAGATTGTTGTTTAATGTCTCCCCCTCCTCCCAATCTGAATGATTAAATTTCTATTCATTCTCTGGATTCTGATACAAATTTAATTTGATCATTGGATTTTTTCATATGTTGCTGTGCAGTACGCCAGTGGGCGTCAAAGATGATGATTTTTTATATGCTTAAATATAGGATTTCTTCTAAATATACGGCCTGATCAGTTAGCAGAGTTCAATAAGGGACTACTATCATGCAAAATATCCCAGTATAGGTTCTGCTGTTTCAAACTTTCTGTTTTTAATCTGGATATCCCAGTTGCATGTTTGATAGCTTAACACTTTCTTAAAATAAGAAACTTGCAAACTTCAAAATCTTTCTTGTGCTCTGCTAAGGCCTGCCTCTTTGATATACATTTGTTCATTATTTCCATGTTTTTTGAAATTTGCCTTACTGATTTTTAATGCATAAGAAGAACATTTGAGTTCTTATTTCTCATTTTTTTGTGATAAAATTATTGGCATCGGAAGCCTTTTGTGTTTTGTATTTGGATGGGTGCAGTTATATTGTGTATGGATGACTGTACACACTTTTAAAAAAAGTTCAGGATTATCAACGAGAACACTTATGTTCATTTCATCCTTCCTTCTGAGATGCAGTTTCCTTAATATCTCAGTTCTTCAACATCAAAACAATTGTGGGAATGAAACACTTAAGTTTTAAGAAAATGTGTTTTAGCTTAATAAAAAGAGCATTATAAACAAGCAAATAAAACTCGGTATCATCATCTTGACCTAAAACACAGCAGTAGGTCTGCCCAAAGGAAATAAAGGATGGAAAGTGGATTGCTCATCTTCAACCTGATGAGACAGAGGTGATACTAGTATGCAAAGAGAAGAACCTGGGTGTGATGAATAGGAATTTTCACTTAGTTCTCTGAGAGCATATACATGCCAATTGTCAGGATGGTCAAAGCATTGTAATCATAAAAATTATGCATAGACGTCCCAATGGCTTAACAATAACCTGACTTTGGCTGCATAGAAGTCTGCCATTACTTCCAGATGTGGATTTAGCTACAGTTATTACCACACGAGACTGGGATTATTACAGTTTGGCTGCATCCATAAATCTGTCAGCAAACTACAGCACATACCAGCTCATCTAAGTGGTATGAACAAATAGAATTACATAACGCAGTCCTAACAATGGCTGCCATTTGATTTTGATAAAAATTGAGATACATCTCCAAACCTTGAATGGACTCAGAACCAAGACATTTTTGAGAATCAATCTCTTTCCATGGCAGTGTTTCCTAAGAACACTAATTGACGGAAGAAGATTCAAGACCATATGAGCTCTCAGCAGTGCATTCACAGGGAAGGTTTCTGGAACCGATTCCTACCAAAGTTCAGACTGACATAAAGACCTACTGTGTAAAAGTGTCCTCTTTCACATGGACATTGCCGTCATGTCACTAAGTAATTCTAGCATTGTGTACTTACCTACCTTTAAGTAAGCAAGGGGGTGGGGGCTGAGAGGGTTGTTCCTGGTGTACATGTTGCTATGCAAAATCATCTAGAAATGTCAGTTCTAGATATGGATTACATAGTGAAATCTACATATATAGAAATGCTTGCACAGGGAAGATGAGAATGGATTTTATATATCACTGCTTGGATAATCATTATACAGAAGGAAGATCTGTATCACTAATCTCTAACTTTTGTGTATGTTTTGAGGACAAAACTTACTATTTGATAACGTCAGTATTTTCACAATCTAGGCAATAGCTGTTGAGGATCAGATTCTGTTTACATGAAACCACAGGAAAATTCCATTGTTCTTTGTTCAAAGAATTTTGAAACTATCAGGCTGTGAAATACATTATGAATAGACTAATAGCTATACACAATGTATTTCACAGAATGATAGTCCCAAAATTCTTTGTTGTCCATCTTCTGTCCCACTCTTTGTTTTTGTGTTTTTTTTCTTACTTGTTTCATCTTGTATATTCAAATTAGCCTGTAATCTTTTTCAAGGCAGGTATCATATGCCTATGAAGTAACGAGCACAGTGAGGATTTGGTCCTAACTGGGGGTCTTTGTGCACCACTGCAGTACAAATAATAAACATTTTTGTGCTTCACATAAATTGGTTTGTCCTGATCAATAATAGGATTGAAAAACTGTAAGCTACATGCTTTTTATGATTATCCAAATTTATTTTGTTCAGAACCATTGGCAATGTCTATAAGAGAACCTTGCTTTAGTGAGTTTGTATATTTCCAAATAGCTTAAAAATGCTCTTGGCATAGATGATCACATGGTAATAGGAATGTGACCGTAATGAACAACAAATACAAAAACTACTGAGAGAGATTTGAATGAGTAAGGGTAGAGAACTTTAGACCTATATCTCCCAGAATGAACAAGACACAGAGGTATATTCTAGTTTACCTGTGATAATTTGGCATTTGCCCTCAAATGACAGATTTCTCTTCTGCTTCAGTAACCTGTACAATTTCATTCATTTTTAAGTTTTTAAAAAAATACCTAAGGAAAAGAAAATATGACAGAATGCTAATTGTGTGAATTTTACATTCTGCAGCTCACAACTGCTGGATGTATGTGTAACCGCCACCAGGTGGATTTGAACCTGGGATCTCTGGAGCTGAGTGTAGGAGCCTCTACCCTCTGAGCTAAAAGCCAGCTGGCTCCTAGCCCATGCTATAGAGGTCTCTTGACCTAAACTGTTGCTGTGGTCTAGGTACCACTTGCATTGCTCGGTAACCACACTAGGTGTGTGGGTTATATATGCATCTATGAAATAATAAATTGAGTACACAAAAATGGTTATATATATACAATATAAAAATAATTCAGAAAACAGATTTGCAAGCTGTATTTAAACAATCATCTATTTGTATTATGTCAAATATTTGATTACCGAGTTCCAACAATTTTTTTTCAGTAACTGACCTAGTCTTTCACTTTCATTTTTTTTTTAGTGCTGCAAGTTGAGAGAATCCAGTAGAGACCTGAAAATAGAGTTTTATGGATTCAGAAATTGAAGCAACACCTATTAGAAAGATAAAACACTTATTCTCCAGAGAAGTTGCCTGAATGATAGCTAAGCAACATATTTGAGAGACTTTCATTAAGAAAATTTTGTCCATTGCTGATATAGTTGACTAAACAGGCAAAAAGCCACTTGTTTTGAAATGCAGCTAAAGAAAATGAGGGACATCTTACCAAAACTGTATACAAGCCAACTTAATGACATAAATAATTCTTTGACTACATCTCCAAAGCAAACCAATGAGGATAAAGGAAATCAACCAAAAAGGATTGAAGACCAGAATTGTGTCTATCAAGGGACTGAAGGTGAGGATAAGCTGTCATTGGTCCATTGTATAAAGTGCAGAAGTGTGCAAAAACTTCCAGTTCATGCTATACAAAAGGATAGCACGCCCAGGAAGACTGAAGACACAAACTTCATTTGTAGCAGCTGCAATCAAAGTATACTACCGACTTTCCATTTTGTAGCAGACAGTGCCACTTCCATAGATTTAGAAAATCAAGAAAAAACATCTCTAAGTAAAACTCAGAAAACATTTAAGGTAAAAAACTTTCAACCAGACAAATATTACTGTGATAAATGTCGATTTTCAACGAAGGATCCTTTGCAGTATAAAAAGCATGTAGTTCAACATGAGGAGATTAAATTTGTTTGCTCACACTGTAATTATGTATCCTACACCAAAGGAGAATTCCAACGGCATTTGGTGAAACACACTGGAATTTTTCCATATCAGTGTGAATACTGTGATTATGGTGCTGTTAGACATGATTATATAGTAAAGCATACTAGAAGAGTACATGAAACTGTTACTGAGAAGGGACTGTTGAATATGGCTACAAAACAAGAGCAAAATAGATCTTGCATGCGTAAGCAAAGCACTTTGTTTTCCAAAAAGCAGAAGTGTGATCAAAAAGTTCCTCCTCAGAATGAGCCTTCAGATTTATCAAGTACAGCTTGTAGCAGAATCGAAGATGAAATGAGCAAAACAGTTTGCTTGTCAGACAATGTAGAAGGTAGCCTAAGCACAGTATCAGTACAAGATAAAACTCTGGTGGAACCGGATGAAGAAAATATATATGAGAACCGAAATGTTGAAGTTGAAGTTTATTCTCCAGAAAAAGAGCCTGTGCAGCCTGGAATGCCACTAACAGTGATCGCCCCTTCAGAACTTGTAGTTCCTTCTAACTGTTTAGCTCAGTTATTGGAGATCAAAATTGTGAATGGCACGCAACAGTTGGTTCTTAAACTTATTCCTCTGAAAGAAAAAAGTAATAAACCTCTAAACAGTGAGGAAGAGGAACTCAGGAATCAAAGTACAGAACAGACAGACAAAGGGAAAGGAATAACTTCTGTTGCTCAAAGTGAATTAACCACAAAAGCAACTGTAGATAAATTATCAAGTGTTAGTAATATGTTTGCTTCCGATCATATATATGACAAGAACTCTGAATGTCTTAATTCTTCTAGTTCTCATACTTCAGACAGTAACTCAAATGTACCAAGTCAGGATAAGTCAAGAATAAATTGTCCTAAATCCTCAAATAAGGAAAAATACACAAACAATGATTTATGCTATTCTGAAGAGACTCTGGACATGTCCACATGTACATATGCTGCTTCCTCTGAAGATAATAGATCCCAGACTGTTTTGTTGCAGGTGACTCAGGAGAGCAACAGTTCCTCTTCATCTTACCTTGGAGAAAAGGATATAGTGTCTTTAAATGGTGATGACAAAGAAACCCGGAGCCAGATTTCTCTAGAAACACATTTATTTGATACCTGTTTGGTTAAAGAATCTTTTAAAACTTCTCTAGGAGTGCAAGAGTTCTCTTTAAATAAAAGTGGATCTTTAGAGGAAGCAAGCATTGGCTTAAATAAATTAAACAGAGAAAACTCTGATTGTCAAAATAATCATTTAGAAATTTTAGAATTGCAGAATGTAGAAAATAAGGACAGCCTTCCTGAGGGGCCTGTCATTTCATCTGTATTTTCCCTTAGCTCTGGTGCTGAAAACATTCCGGAGGGCATCAAGTGGGATAATACTGCACGCAATAAGAAGTCAACAGCAATGTTATGTAGAAAGATTGCTCAGTTGATGTCCATTGCTGAGTGTAATGTGAAATCTACATTGGCAGGTTCATCTATGCCTGCTAGATGCTGTGCTTCTAGTAAGATGCCTTTGCCTCAGGGAACTTTAGCAAACTATGAAACAAATGTTCCTGCTACTGAATTGGAACAATCTGCATCTTCTCTTCAAACACCGCACAATGGTGGGATTAGTAATGAACTGTGTAATAAACAACAACCAGAATCACTGTCAGCTACAACAAAAACTAAAAGTAGAATGAGTAAAAACACTCACATGGCTACTCCAGTGTTTATTCCAAAAGGGACAGTGTTGAGAGTCTTGAATGTCACTAAGAGTGAGATCCCAAAAGAAACCGGAGATAAGAATGAAATATCAGGTGCTTCAACCTGTTGCAATGAAATGTTTCTACCGCGACCAGTTCCTTTCAGTATTTCTGAGAAACTAAGTGATAATTTACCTATGCCAAATGAGAGTGAACTTTTTGAACAGCCTAAATATCAAAATATATCACTTAGGCAGAGACCAAAAAGAGAAGCTAATGCAAAAAGTAATAGCAAACAAAATTGTGTGCTGCTGCATCAAACAAGTGATGAGCCAAGTAAGCAGAGCAAACTTTCTTCAAAGGATCAACTTGTACCTAAAAATAAGATAAAACAATCAAGTTCTAGGGATTGTTTATTATCTAAGAAGAGAACAAAAATTCACTCAGATACCATTGGCGTTTCCGAGGCGACATCTCTTTTGAAAGCAAGACGTCTTAGGCTTGTACCTTTTAGAACACATCAATTGATAAAATGTCCTCGTCGTAACCAGCCTGTAGTTGTATTAAATCATCCTGATGTTGATTCAGCAGAGGTAATTAATGTAATGAAAATTATCAATAAGTATAAAGGCAATGTTGTGAAAGTAGTTTTATCAGAAAGAACAAGTAGTTTTCTTGGTGTGAAACGGCATAATAAACGGCTTACATTTCAAAACTCGGAAACAAGGCAAACGAAAAAGCAGAATTTGTTAAAAATGAAGCTAAAAAAGACCAATAAAAACAACTACCAAGTAGTGGAAACTTCACCAGCTAAAACATTGCAGTGTATGTTTAAGTGTTGGTTTTGTGGAAGGATATACGTAGACCAGGAAGAATGGATAAGTCATGGACAGAGACATTTGATAGAGGCAACCAAGGGCTGGGATGTTCTCTCTCTTCCTCTAGAGAGCCACAAGTGAGAAACTCTTCAGTTTACTGCTGTTAATGTAAAATGAGTGCTATTCATTTGTTTGGAAAAGGAGATCATAGTAAATATTTTACTGGAGAGTTTTTATTTTTAGCAGGCAGGAGAGTGATAATAGAGATTATAGACTGTATGAGAAGCCAATCTTGAGTGCTCAACAGTACATAGCACTCCAATGCCTGAATTAAGTGTTATGACCACCCCTTGTTTTTTTTGAGGAAAAACTTGGAAATGACTTGCTATGAAAATATTCTAGTATAGTTCTCTTCACTAGGACATTATATGCAGTAATGCAACTTTGCTAGGTCAGTAGGGATTAAAATGTCAAACTATATGACCTGCATGAAATTAATTGAATTCAGTCTGATTATACTGCTACAGTTTAGTTAAAGTTCAGGCATAAGTCTAATGGAGTGTATCTTTGACTCCTCCGTGAACAAAATAATGTGCATCTTAAGTTAGTAGTAATTTAAAAATGCTATATTGGGGGGAGGGAGGCAACCCTAGTACTGAAATATTAAATTCCTATTTTTTGGAACAGAAGTAACTCCATTGACTTCAGTGAGCTACACTAGTGTAAATGAGGAATTGGTGAAATTAGACCCACTATGAGGATTGACAGTGAAAGGTTAATTCTGTGTAGTACATATCAAAGGCTAAGTTGTGTCTTGTGCCACACAGATGTGAGAGGGGGAAGAAGACACAAGTGACTACATACATCTCCTTTATGCTGTGCGAGCAAGCAGGAGCTCGGCTTAGAATTTAGAGTTCGGGGGGTGAGGCCTGGTTCCTTTGCTCCTGGCGTGACATGATTCTGATGGATTGTACTCTAATTGAACGAGTTAGGACCTGACCACAGCAATGACTTCTGTAGAGTGCAATGATCAGTGCTGTGTGTAATCTCATTAGAATTGTACACTTTCAGGAGAGAGCCTTTGACCAGGACCTCAGCCAATCTGACACTGTAGTGCTTAGCTAGGAAGAACTAGCTGGAGAAGCAAATTGCTGTTTTGAAAGAGAGAGATTATGCTGTAGACCTCTATGTTGCCAGTACTATCCACATTTTGAGTATAATCTTTTTTTTGACATCCTAAAGTGGAAGAATTTGCATGCTAGAATCTGCATGTGAATACCTCAATTCAGCAAGCTACTTAACAATAATAAGCACAAGCTTAAGCATGTGCATACTTTCATTGATGGATTCCATTTAGTTTAGTAAGATGATTCATGTGCTAAGTGCCTTGCTGAATGAAGGTGACTTTTTAGGGGTAAGGAGGATGGATGACAATGAAGTTTAATAATTGGCCACTGTTTATGTATAGAATTTTCTTGGTTATTTTGTCACAAATTGTAAGCCATTTTTTTTTTTTTAAATTTCATTTACAGCAAGTGATGAATGAAGCACATATTTGCAGTCACATTTCTACAGGTAAAAAAAAATCAATAATTGGATGCTGGAGATAGTATACCTTTGAACTTTGTATAAATGCCTGTAGATCCTAATTGTTTTTCACTGTTAACACATTTTGTTAAAAAAACAAAACAAAACCAACCCCCCCCCCCCCCCCCCCCTGAAACCACAAAGAACAAAAACCTACTAGTTTGGAAGTATTTTTTGTTCTTTCTATATGTTAGAAAATTAAATATGGTTTTGATAATGTATGCACTATATCTGAATTGAAATATAAATACTTTGAAACTATAAAGCACATTTTATGACTTAGATCTAATGTACAAAAACAGTTATGTGAAACTTTTCTGTCAGATCATTTTGCAATACAATATTAAAATCTTTGAGGTATTTGGTGCTTTCAGAAATGAGATTCTATATTACTTTGCAATTTTTTTGTATTGTAGTGAAAGGCTAAATTGTTCTACAGAGTAAATTTTGTATTATCTCTGTTTTTTCAGTAATTAAATTACAGTTCTTATTTTATATTGAAACAAGAATTTATATTTTTTTAAATAAGTACAGTAGAGATTTTTTCACTTTGTTCTTTGAAGCCAAACATCATAATCTTGTCTCAGTTTTAAATTGTGAAAATAGGTTTCATTTCTAAATTCTGGCATATCAGATTAAAATAAATACCCTGAAACTAACAACATATGAAAAACCACATCTGGCCAAATTTTCTTTTCATGCACATCAACCTAGCTAGATGTTTGTCCACTTTAGTTCTGCAGAAGCTGTTAAGAAAATACTTTTGAATCTTCTACTTGTCTAAGGTATATATCATTGACAAAATGAATATCTTTAATCAACCTTGTAATGTTAAAAATAGTGCTGCACACAGGGTTATAAACAAATTGTAGATGGGTTTTCTAATGTTTTTGTCTCTGCCTATTTTAGTAAACAAGGAAAAGTCTTTGTATCTAAATTGTTTATCTGTGTGTAATTGTTCTCCCTGCATTAAATTTACAAAATAGAAGTGTTCTTTTAACATGATTCTTTTTTAGTGAATTGAATTGTGTGGTGGCTATAAAAATGTGAAGTAAGATTTCATGCCTTTTTCTCTTGCCAAGGACATCCAAACTCTGTCCAGAAGGGTGTATATCTAATTTTTTTTTTTGATGTATGTGGTTAGGTTTCCTTCTGGAACTTCAATAGTGTGGCTTGAGTTACTGAGTGTGACCCAGAAACACTCCCCTGCTGAGCTTCGTTTAACAGAGTATGCTCAAGTATGCTTATGGGAATTGAACTGTCTGATAGCTGGTTATGTCTTTCTGATTCTCAGAGTAGAGCTCCACCTTGATGAACCCAGTAGAAATTAGTTATTTGGTCTCTCTAACAATTTTTCCTGCATCCTGCCAGACACGATACTGTTTTTTGTTCCTGATTTCTTAAAGGACCCATGACTGATTCTCTTTTCTCGTATATTTTAATCATTTAACCAATCTAGTGGGAAACATGCTTGAGAGAAACACTGATGGTCTGAGGAATAGAAGCAACGTTTGCTCAATACAGTAGAGCTAAATGTAAACTACAGAAACTTTATAAATCTCTAGCAATATTGTTATCTTTCTCTCTTTTTCTCTGTGTGTGTGTGTGTGTCTGTGAATCTGTTCAAAAACTTCCACTAAATGGTTAGAGGTAGGGTCACCAAGTTTGGTATGCAGCTTTATCTTCTAACTTAAAGCAAGGTCAGGGTTTGGTTGTCCCAAGACAACTGGAAGCCCTGGGAAAATGACAGTTTTCCATAACATGCAAAGGGAGGGGCTGCTGTTTGGAGGGATCTGATATGAGAGTGGCCACTGGGGACAGAGAGCCCACAGGTTAGAGCTATCCTGCAGTGTGTCCACTGGGGGCAGCCAGAACACCAAGGGAATGGCCAGCAGGGCTGGTGTTTCTCTATCTTGACTGCCAGCACGCCAGGTAAGTAGCCCCTTACTCCAAACCATTTCCCCTCTCCTGGGTCTTGGCCACAGCGCTGGACAGGGAGGAGAAAAAGGGCCCTGGTGGCTGGGGGAGGGGAGATTTGTGGGAGAGAAAAGAGGCCCCAGGCAGGAGGAGGAACTTGGGGAGGGGACAGGAGAAAACATCCCTGGAGGCCGGGAGAGGACTGAGGGGGGAGAAAAGGCCCATGCTAGATGGGACACCCGTTCTGAGCCCCTCTTCAATGCCCTACCTCGCCCTCAGCCTCCTGCACACCCTACACCACCAGCCCCCTGCCTTGAAAGACCCCGAGCAGCGCTGGGTAAGTCTGCTAGTATACTGTGTACTACATTGTACAAACAGGTTTTTTTAAAAATGTTTGTGTGTATCTGAAAGGAGCCAGAACATTCTCTATTGCCTCTAATAACTATAAAATCTTCTCAGTACCATTGAATTAATATCTCATGCAAACTTAATTGCATGAGTAATCTTGCCTGCATAAAGGAGTGAAGAATTGGGAATGAAATGCAAGACTGTTTTCAAAGAATGATTGCTGTTAATCATTACTAATAGTAGGACTACTGTCATGGAGACCTAAGGTGTGATCCCAGTGATAGTTGAAATGTTTTGAAAGACTCTCATTGTACCATTGAATTAATATCTCATGCAAACTTAATTGCATGAGTAATCTTGCCTGCATAAAGGAGTGAAGAATTGGGAATGAAATGCAAGACTGTTTTCAAAGAATGATTGCTGTTAATCATTACTAATAGTAGGACTACTGTCATGGAGACCTAAGGTGTGATCCCAGTGATAGTTGAAATGTTTTGAAAGACTCTCATTGGAGAGGAATTGATTTGGTCAAATACTCCACCAGCCTGTCTAGATGACTGACTATCCCCCCCCATAGTCTGCACCAATAGTGAAGCTCTTAAATAATAAGTGCCAAGCTAAGTGCAACTTTTCTAATTTAAAATGCAGGATATTTTGTAATGCAATTCTAATATATTACATTGCTTTTGTTTCATGATTTTATTTTGTGTTCCTAGAGATTTTTCAAGAATGAAGAAGTTTTTGTAATAAAAAAAATCACTTCTGAGCAAAACAGGGAAAATATTGCTGAGAAGTTAGCTGCTGTTCATACCTTTTAGTGTAGCTGTACTATGACATTTATTTGCACTTGCAAGAATACCCTTGATTTGAAGTTTTATATTTAGAGGTTACGATTAAATTGTTCTCTTCTGAGCATGATTTAAATTATGTATTTCATAGATGAGAAATCACATTTTATACAAGTTTCCCTAGAATTAGAATTCTTCATTGTGTTCATATTGTACTCAGTCATATTGTACTCAAATGTCTGTACAGATTTTAAATATTAAAGTGTTCTTATTTTCATGTTTATACAGATTGAAATCATTCAGGGTAAGAAGCATCTTCTGTTCCATTTGAAAGGATGTCTTAGGTAGCATTTTTCTCTCTGGATTCCAGACTTATCTTTTCCATCAATAAGTGTAATGGGAGCACGTGTATAGAAGTCAATAATTTCTTGCACAGAATCAAACTTCTGTAAAACATTAAACAATTGAACATGTAAATTCTGAAAGTTCTTAACTTCTGAAATGAAGAATCAAAGCAGTGACCCACATATAAGAAATAACTCCCCTCCCTAGCTCTACTCCACATACTACCATCCATTTCATCCCGTTTGTGCTTCCTGTGGACTGTAGTTTTCTATGCTTCATATTATATTGAGACAAAGTATTTTTTTGGGGGAGGGGGGAAGAGGAGCAGAGGATTTTAAACTCTTGAAATCAAGGTAAAATCCAGCAAACAGCTGTGTGTGTGTGTGTGTGTGTGTATTTTAAAGTGTGGCATTGCCCATAAGGGATTAAAATAACTTTTAAATGCTGATGTCTCTTAATCTAAAATCTAAAAAAAACAAAACATTCAGGGCAGGCTGCTTGAACTGTTATATAATATGCTTCCTAGTCTTTACTGAAATTCACTTCTTCCAGTGAATATATTGAGCTCCTGGCTTTTTAACAGCATTTTCCTACCAGGTGTTTTGAGGAAAGTAAGATTAAAACATACCTTAAAAAAAAAAAAAACCTAACCAGTTGGGAATATATTTGTGCGGTCATCTCCCACCCTCATTAACTTTAATGAGATTTGAGAGTGCTTAGTAGCTCCCAGAAGATGCTTAGCTCGTTGTATGATCGGGTCCTCAGGGAGTTCAATTTAATATATAAAATATGCATGTAAACCTGTACAGCTGTGCCTTAATTGCCAGCAAAATGTAGCAACATTTATTTTAAATTTGGTGTATTTTTCTCTTACATGTGTTCATTAAGTTATGGCTTTGTACCAGTCTAAATGTCTGAGGTTTTAGACTAATGCTGTTGGTCACCATGCTGCAGATAGAGAGGTAACTATTTTTTAGGATTAATTCAGACTTCAGTTACTACAGTTTTTCTTTTTCATAAAGAGAGTAAGACCTAAATTTGTCCTTGGCTAGATACTTAAGTCAAGCAGTTAATTTTCAGAAAGCTTCCCAAAGAAAAGTATGGAAAAAAAAGATGATAAAATCTACAATCATTAGCAATCTGTATAGGAAAAATAAAAAACCAGAAAAAAGTAGCTGGATTAAACAAATTAAGTTTAAAAAATAGGAAAAAATTAATCCAGAAGTGGAAGTATGCTGCAGAAAATATTTCCATCTTTAAGTAAGTGAAGATAATACATTGGAGAGAGGGTAGCAAAGTACAGGTCTTGAATACATGGACTGTAGCTATATTTTTCTTTGTCTCCTAGATGCAAAGATGAAATTCACCTAATTTTTAAGTGTATTAATCGTTGCTAAATACCTCCTATACTTTTGAAAAGCATTTAAGCAGATAGGGAAATTGCAAACTGCCATTTTACTCTAATTGTTGAAGCCTCATCAATTGTTTACCCTTTGAGACAACCTGAGAAGAGAATAACCGAGAGAGCAGATTTATTCCATCTAACATGCAGAGGCAGCTCTGATGAATGGTACACGGTGCCTGTGATCCTTCACTGTACCTACACCCCTACCCTGTTCAGTGAATCCGTTCTCTAGGTGCTGGTGTGAAAGAAATAAATGCTTCTCTTGGAATTGTCTCTTCTGTGGAGTTTCTCA